AGTTCAGTACAGATTCATGCAAATTATTACAAAATCATTCGCAAACATGACAACACAGACAAGAAGTTAGCTATCTGAATAGTTTTTAGGATAGTTTAGGTTTTACCATCCTATCATGATGTCAGGATAACTTGGAATGGGCAACTTCCTAGAAGTACATTTTTTCCGAGTTAGGTACAGTGTGCTGAATGTGATCTAAACAGTTATTCATGATCTTAAGCATTTCCACTGTAATTTTTGAAGATGCAAGCAGTGATGTTAGACTTGAGAGGCACGTGCTGTGGTTTCCCTTGTTCCTTTGGAGTTTTGTTTTTCCGTGTCAGCACTTTGCACTGTCAATGTACCTCCCCAAAGCTGCCCTTTCCATATATTTCTTTTTAAACCTTGAGTTCATGAGTTAATTACGAAAACTGAGTAGGAAAAATAGTTCATAGATGACATTAAGAGCTGGAGGGGGTTTCTTTTTAGCTTTAATTTGTGAACTCTGATTTATGTCAGATTTTATCCTGAATTCTAGATAAGTTAGACATAAATGTGTCAGCATAATTTTTTTTTTTTACTGTGTTCAGTGACTGTAGTTTTCATAATGTATTTCCATAGCGTCTAAAAGATTTTACACTGGTATAGTGGTAATGTTTTCTCTATACTGGCAGGGGAAGACCAAGGGCACCAAAAAGCCCTTGGGAAAAATCACAGACCCTCCTCTCCCAATCATCCTATTAAGGACCCGGTGAATGAGTGGGCGTTACCCATGGGAAGGAGGCTGTGGCCTCCCTGTGTGCAGGGAATAGGTCATCAAGTGCAGCAGTGTCTAGTGAGGGGTGAGTCCTGCTGGAAGGACACCAGTGTCTAACCCCATCAGTCCTGTGATTGTCTGTGACCTTGGGCATGTGACTTCTGCTAGTATACTCTGTTATGCTAGTAGTAGCAGCTATGTTCTTTACTGGATAAAGTGGCTGAACAGCACCAATAGTGATTGCCAGTAAACTGCACGTATTAAGGTATCTACCTGGCCACATTTTGATATATGTGTACACTTCTGGACTTTTTACTTCACAGTACTCTGAGGCTTTATCATCTCCTTCCAAGATTCATCATGTGATTAGGAACTTGATCTTGTTTGTTGCTTTATCCATAGTCCTAGCAGGGATGTAGAACTTAGTAAGAACTCCATGAACGTTTACCTTGTGGATGTAGTCATTAGGTTGGGCTGCCAAATATTGTCATCCTTGTACAGAGATGGTGCTCACGTGGATTGTCCATTGTTCCTGGGCCTTGACATCAGCATCAGGAATGGTTTGTTTGACTGAGGGGTACTGCACTGTTACTTTCTATAGTGGTTTGTAAATTAAAAGACAGGAAGAAAGGGTCTCCTGCGTTTTTCTCTCCCCTTCCCATCATCCTATCCGCTGGTAACTGAGTTGGTGGAACTCTATCAGAGTAGAGTGGAGCCATGCTTAGAAGTGCGGTAGCCTCCTGCTATGTTGTATGCCTTCTCTCCTTCCTGGAATTTCCTACGTTGATGTTTATTTCCCAAGCCCTATCAGAAGTGGCTGGGAAGATAGTGATTCAGATTTTGTACTTTATCTTTGGTCATACTTTTTGGTTCATGAACATCTGGTTTCCTGATTCTCTTTATAGACCTGGCCTTGAATTGATTTATTGCTTACTTAGTGATACTAGGGATTGTACTCAGGGCCTTGTGTGTGCTAGAGAAGTGCTCTACCACTGAGCTACGTTTCAGCCCTTTTTGTTTGTCAGGGTCTCACAAGTTGCCTAGGATATCCTTGGATCATTCAGTTATTCTTTAAAATATTTACTGGACCTTTCACATGTGAGACACTGTGCTGGGCATTGGGATAGGACAGATGATGGTGTCTTAGAGCCTTACCTTCACAGTGTAGATACCCAGAGCATCCCAGACCATGTTTTGGGCAGTGAAATGTCTACTGATGGGACATGAACTTATGCTTTCTTTTTAATAACATTTATTTAGATATGAAAATTTCCTGTATAATTTATAGGTAAAGTTAATTTTTTCATTTATTCTATAATAATTACCTTTAAAGAATGAAATGTTCTATATGTACTCTCAGAAATAAAAGGAAAACATAAAAGAATAATTATTTGACGTAATACCCAGTTTTCTATCTTCTGGACATTTTCTTCCGTACCACATTAATCATACCAAGTAAGTACTGTTTAATGCCACAGAAGAGCACATTGTCTTTCTACATTCCTGAGATAATTTGTGATTCAGGATGTGAGAAAATTGGCAGGAAAAGCCAGGGTCTCCTTAGTTAAAAGATTTTCACTACTGAGATGAGAAAGCAGCAAAAATACCAATAAAATTAAAGCAGAGGGCTGAGCCTGACTTCTTGTAAAAAACAAAATATTTTGAGAAATTCTTTGTTGTCATTTGAAGTTTCAGTAGAAAGTGCCTGAAACAAAAACCAAAATAAGCCTCTTTGTTAGCAAGCAGGCAGCCCGCTCCAGTATGGCAGAAGATGGCACCTGAGGCTGGTCAAGTTTATCAGGGATGAACGGCAGGGGTTTGCTTTGACCCACCTTGCTCCGTTGCCCTGTGTGTATGTTGGCTTCTGTGATGAGCAGTTCAGCCAGTCCACCTGGGAGCTGCCTGTGCCTAAGAACTTGTAGAGACCAGATCCACAGGGCTTGGCTGTGAGCTCTTTTGGACCCCAGCACCCAGGGAAGAGCTGTGAGAGAACATAGAAACTGAGTCGCCAGATTTGGCAGGTTGACCTTTGGCCTGCTTAATTCAGTGCTAATTATAGAATGATAGTCCACGTGTTGTTTCTTACTCTTTCCAGTCAACCTTTATACTCTGGTATACCCTTTCCAAAACTTGTCCCTTTCCACTTGTGTTAACATCAAGGGACAAAAATCACCCTTTCAGAAATAAGAGGCTAACTTCCCTGAGTCTGGAAGTATAGCCCAGTAGTAGGCCTGCTTGCGTGGCATATGTGAAGCCCTGGGTCAGGTCTTCAGCATTGGGGGGAAAAAGTGTAACCTTCCTAAACGTAGGCTCCGTGCCCAGGAATTCACCAAGTCTCCTGGTAGCTGAAGTAATCGTGTTATGAATCCCAGTTCTGCTGCAGTAATGGGTACTTCGGCAGTGTTTCTATAGTAAACTTTACACCAGTAATAACAGTGGTGATTTGGGATATGTGTATGCATAGTCCATTTAATAACAGTGAGTGCAACTTCTCTAAATTTCAACATAAAATGTAATAGAGCTGCCTAACTTTTGTATATTTTCATTATTAATGGCTATTATGAACACCTTCATATTGTTACCATAAGAGGGCAGGGTCCACTGCAGTCGGTAAATTCTTGAGAAATAAGAGAGAGACAGAGGAAAAAACAGGCTGAGCTCCTTGGGGCTGAGAGTGAGCTCAGCAGAACTGCTACGTTGGTATGTGTGAGTTAGATCTCTGGGTTAGATCGTCAGCACTGAAAAAGTAGTGTCTGTTCTCAACCTGAGAGTTCATTTACAGTTTCTTTGTTTGAACAGTGGGACCTCTGTTTTTTTTTTGTTTGTTTGTTTTTTGTTTTTTAAACTAGAGTCTTGTCAGAGTTTTAATAGATTAAAGATTGTGTATGTATGTATGTGCCTGGTCCTCTGCCCTGTGTCTTAGGAAGGCTGATTCGTTTTGTGTTGCTATTTGTATATTAAGGATTTTTTTGTTATGTTTTAGTCAAGACACACTGATGATACAGAGAAAACAATAGTGAAAAAATGGACTACTGAAATACAAGATAACTTTTGTTTGTTTGAGACAGGATCTTGCTATGTAGTTCAGGCTAGCTTTGAATTCACTATGTGGCTTAGGCTGGCCTCTAGCTCTAGGCTGTCCTCCTGCCTTAGCCTTGTGAGTGCTGGAATTACAGATGTGCACCACCATGCCTGGTTGCAAGATATACTTAGGAAGTTTTTTCTGATCATTGATGGACCTTATAGTTTGCCTGAAGAACATTTTATGTATAAGGACATCTTATTAAGTAGAGTTTTCTGGCCATGGTTTTCTGTTGGTTTGTTTTTTGAGACAGGGTCTCACTTTGTAGTTAAAGCTGGCCTTGAACTCACTATGTAGCCCAGGTAGGCCTCAAACTCACAGTGATCTTCCAGCTTCAGGCTCTCAGATATTGGGATTATACATGTGCATGACCCCTCCCAGCTTGGCTGTATGTTTTTCCCAAATTTTGAATTCTAACTCTTGAGCTTCTTGTATCTTAAATGTTTAGAGTGGGCAGTTTTCCATTTGGTTAGTCACTGTCTCAAATGTAACATAGTGAGTTTTAATGTAGTTTTGTCAATGCCTTTATTGAGGGATGCTTGACATGTGTTTACATGTACAGCATAGTAAGTTTTATCATACCCCACACCCATTAAACTATTAGCAAAATCAAAGTAGTGCACACATCTTTCACCTCCAAATTATCCATCGGGGATCCATCCTGTCTGTCCTCCCTTGTTCCACATACAAGTTACCTGCTTTTTGTAGGTAACAGATTAGCTTATCTGTCTATGAGCTAGAATTTTATCAAGCAAGTTGATGTGTGTTCTTTTTTTCTTGGTCTGGTTTTCTCAGTCAGCAAAAGCATTTATAGTATTATCCCTTTTGCTTGGTTCAGTGTATATTATAACTCTAACTTAAATTCCCAGTTGAAAAACAATTATTTTTTGAAAACTCTGAATCGGTTGCTGAATGTGTTTTTGAAATAAATAAGTTTCACTGAGAAGCTTAAAAGGATTGTATACTCTTATTGTCTTTGAAAAGTGCAGCTCTAGTAATTAATATATGCTTAAGTAAAGTGCTTCATGTGTTTTAATTGAAAATTTCTAGGAGCCCGTATGTTATGTTAGCTTATCAGGGTAAGTTTTTTGGGATATTAGCTATTGTATCATGTTTGATTTGAAAGTTCTATACGTCTAATAAGGTCATAGTTACTAACTATGGATTTATTTTTCTTTGCAGGTTCCTTTCCAGAGACCAGTTATGGGTGTGAGAGGGTTGCAGGGGTTTGTGAGAAGTACCTGCCCACATGTATGTACAGTAGTCAACCTCAAAGAGATGGCGGAGCACCACCTCAGCAGGCACCCAGACTGCACTCCGACCATTGTGGTAGATGCCATGTGCTGTCTCCGGTACTGGTACACTCCAGAGTCTTGGATCTGTGGTGGCCAATGGCGAGAATACTTTGCTGCTTTGCGAGATTTTGTTAAAACTTTTGAATCTGTTGGCATCAAGTTGATATTCTTTTTCGATGGCATGGTGGAGCAGAATAAGAGAGATGAGTGGATCAAACGAAGGCTTAAGAACAACAGGGAGATTTCCAAGATTTTCCATTACATAAAGTCACGCAGGGAGCAGCCAGGCAGAAACATGTTCTTTATCCCCTCTGGACTGGCCATATTTACACGGTTTGCTCTCAAGGCGCTGGGTCAGGAAACCTTGTGTTCATTACAGGAGGCTGACTACGAGGTGGCTTCCTATGGTCTCCAGCATAAGTGTCTTGGGATTCTTGGGGAAGACACTGATTACTTAATTTATGATACTTGTCCCTACTTTTCTATTAGTGAGCTCTGTCTGGAGAGTCTCGACACAGTCATGCTGTGTCGAGAAAAGCTCTGCGAGAGTTTGGGCCTCCGCGTGGCTGACCTGCCTCTGTTGGCCTGTCTGCTGGGCAATGATATCATCCCAGAGGGCATGTTCGAAAGCTTTCGGTACAAATGCTTGTCTTCCTATACATCCTTGAAAAGGAACTTCGACAAAAAAGGTAATGTTATTTTAGCTGTATCAGACTACATATCCAAAGTTCTTCATTTGCATCAAGGTGAGAAAAAATTAGAAGAGATGTTACCTTTGGGACCAAACAAAGCTCTTTTTTATAAGGGAGTGACATCGTATCTCTTGCCAGGACAGAAATCTCCATGGTTCTTCCAAAAGCCTGAAGGTGTAACAGTGTTGGACAAGCAAGAAATATCCATGAGTTCAGACCCTGAATCCAAGCAAGAGATTCCCATTTGTACTGAGCCTGAATCCAACCAAGAAGTTCTCATGTGTGCTGGTCCTGATTCAGAGGAGAAAGTTCTCCTATGTGCAGATCCTGAATTGAAGGAGGAAGTTCCTATATGTGCAGACCTTGAATCTAAGCAAGAAACTCCCATGTGTGTAGATTCTGAATCTAAGAAAGAAGTTCCCATGTGTATAAATCCTGAATCCAAGCATGAAGTTCCCATGTGCATGGATGCTGAACCTAAGCAAGAAGTTCTTATGTATATGGATCCTGAACCCAAGCAAGGAGTTCCTATACATGCAGACCCTGAAGTAAACCATAAATTACCTATAGGAACAGACCCTAAATGTAATCTAGAAGCACCCATGTGTGTACACCCTGAAGTTACACAAGAAGATCCCATGATTATGGGGCCTGAAATAAAAGAACAAGTAACTATGGTTTCAGATCCTGAAATCTTGAAGGTAGGTGGATGTATCCACCCCAATCTAAGATGTCATAATTGAAAATATGTCCACTAATGGGTTTGTTAGTGAAGATTTACTGCCTGTCATGGTTAAGGGACTGTGGGGGATAATAGCGTAAAAACCTCTTAAGTCTAGGATAGTGTTGTGCATATGAAAACACATTATAGTAGAACCCACATTTGGTGTTGTCAAATGAGTAAAATGAGTAGGAATTCCAAGGAGAGAGAAAGTTGTGGGTTAAGGTACTTCTTTGAAGTTCCTCAAAGAAGTAGCTTTAGACTGGGGATATAGCTCAGCGGCAAAGTTCCTGCCTGGCAAGTGAAAGGTCATGAGTTTGATCCCCAGTACCAAAAAAAAAAGTAGCTTCAGAGCTGTACCTTTATGGTGCCAGCATTTGCTCTGCATAGGCAAAGGCTCGGGCGGTGGGAACCCTGAACATGTGCCAGTTGTAATCTGTCACCGTGGAGCATTCAGGTTGGAACATGGAATTTTAGGGGAGGAAATTGAAAGCGGTAGAATGCTGAACATTGTGAAGGTTATTAAATGTCATACCAGGAGTTAGGAATAATTTTAAGCCTGTTCCAGAACCTTTAAAGAGTTTTGATGGAAGATCTCTATGAGGCACCTATTTATATGAGATTCCGCGTTAGGCACAGTGATTATCTTTGCTCCTTTGATCACAACAGTACTATAAGATAGGTATTGCCTTGGTTTCCCCTGCTGCAGTACTGCAGATCACAACCATGGTGTCGTACGTAGTAAATTACCTAAGTCCCACCCTAGCCCCTGCTAGGGTCACACCCTAGCAGGTAAGGCTCATATCCACATGAATGTCTAGTGACATCTCCACATGTTCAGAATCAAGTATGTTCTTACCTACAGACTTTTTATTTCACAGTGTTGTATGAACACGTTTCATCTAGTTATACAAGCAATAGTCCTAAGGATTCTTTCCCATATTTATATAAACAATATTGGTGGGTCTTACTGCTTTTATAAAATGAATTACAAATTTGTGCAATGTCCATTTCTACCATCCTAGTCCTGCTGTTTTGTCTAGATGATGGTCATGATCCCTAAGAACACTTCTTTTTTTTTTTTTTTTTTGGTACCGTGGATCGAACTCATGACTTTGCATTTGCCAAGCAGGCACTTATACCACTGAGCTAAACCTCCAGCCCCCTAAGAACACTTCATGAGCAGAATTCGCTGTCTTGCAATCCACTTCTCATGCTGCATTCAAAATTAAAGTCTTCTTTATTTGCATTTTATCACTTGTAGTACAAAAACAATGGTCTCAGTGTAGCCATGGCTTTTAGCACCTGGCCTCTGTGTCACTGATTTTTTCCCTCAATTTTACAGCCTTGTGCATGCCCTCCCTCCTGAAAAGCTCCTGCTACTGTTGTAGTCAACACTTACTAGTGTTTTCTGACATAGCGTTGGAGTCACTCAGGGAAGCACTGGTCAGTAGTATATTAGTCAGCTTTTCATCATTGTAACTGAATACTTGACACAAAATTTAAAGGAGGAAGGGTTTATTTTTGCTCACTTTCCAGAGTTAGCTGGCTGCAAAGCAGAAATGTCATGGTTAGAAAGGCTTGGTGGGGTAAACCTGCTAAGTTCACGGAGGCTGGGAAAAGCAGAGCAGGGGAACAGTGCCGGAGATGAAGGGGCCAGAGACCAAGCTCATGGTTTTGTGACCCACCTGGACAAACAGAACGTGTTTTACTAAATCCCTTGGAAGTTCCTAAGCCAATCAAGTTGACAGTTATATTTAAACACCACACGTGTTGTGTATACCTGGTGTTCATAGCACACCCTCCAGCTGAACTTTCCAATGTGATAAATGCCTTATTGCTAGACTGTCAGTGCTGAGGACAGTCTCGTCTCATTTTCTCAATGCTGTGTCCTTTGTGCCTAGCATAATATGTCTTAGAGTGGCTCATTAACTATTTTATTGATTGAATTACTTGCTTTTTCTCATACTTCTAAATTCTCTTAGTGACTTCTTCCATTCCTGCTGCATATTGATCTTGTTAACCTCTTTCTGTGTTGCTTACATTTAGCAGATAAACGAACTTACAAAAAACACAAATGTAACTGCAAGTGAGATCTACAACCCCTTTTAATAGAGTTGCAAATGGAAATGTCATGAAAGCATTTGTATAAGTACTTCAAAGGAGGAAAAAAGAATTGGGCTAGAAATTGGAGGAAGGGCGAGTTGGACCTTAAGACAGAAGCGTTGGCAGGCAGGAGCGCTGTGAGTCACAGCGTGGAAACAGAGCTGGTGCTGACAGGCAGAAGAGACGTTTGAGGCAGTGAACCATGTTGTCATGGCAAGAAGTGTGGAAAGTGGGCGGAAAGCCGAATCTGACTGCTTCAGTTTATTCCGCCTTTTGATGCAGGCTGGATACAGAAATACTGTTAAATATAGACCCTACAGAGATGATTGTCCTTAGAGGTGTGTGTGTTGTGGTTTGGAATTATCAGATGCACCCCTTCCATCATCACGAAGTTCTGTTAAGAGGCGACTGATACTTACCTTCTCATGTGATGGCAGAGATGTGTCAAGGCCAGCGATGACCTGTAGTCACAGAGGTGGCACTCAGTAGTGACAGGATCTGAGCCTGAGCCTTGCCCATCACACTCTTAACAAGGTCACGTTTACCTTTGCTGCTAGAGTGGAAGTTCATTGACACCTTGGAAGGGAAGATGGTTTGGCCATGGTCCAGAAGCACGAATGTGGACAGATTCCTGGCTGTAGAAGTAACTTCTGAGATAGAGCTCAGGGCTGCGTGGTCCCTGAGTTATCCAGTGGGGAGAAAGTGTTGGCTTGTCTTCCTGCACCCTCTCTGCTTTCTTTTGTCCCCATTTCCCTCTGGCCACCCCCACTATGAAATCCAGGCTGGTCTTGAACTCACTATATAACCCATGCTTGCCTTGAACTAAATGGTGATCCTCCTGCCTCAGTCTCTTGAGGGCTTGGATTACAGATGTGCACCATCGTGCCAGGCTTCTCTTTCCATTTCTTAACTTTCCTTCCTATCTCATTTGCATGTGGCTCTGCACACATTCTTTTTGGTTGAGGTCTGTGCTACTGCTCTTCCACTTGCTTCATGGGTCCCATTCATGTTCACCTCACCTGGTTCCTCCAGGGGAGCTGAGGCCTGACAGATTGGGTCAAACCACAGAGGGCTTCCTGGGAATCAGGAAAATTTTGGCCTCATTTCAGTATGCATGAAGGAAGCATTGGCTGTTTTTCAGCAGGGTGATGTGACCAGATGTTTCGTGAAACATTGGTTGTTTATACTGTAGGGGATGGCTTTAAAGCAACAATTGCAGAAGCCCAGGTGAAAGACAAAAGAGCGAGAATTAGGAAAATGGTGGTGGAAATTCCAGCAAACAGCCTCACAGTGTTTCAGAAGTAAAACTGCCAGTAAGGGGTCACTGAATGGAGCTCCTCTGTGGGCACCAGGAATGTAGTTTCACTAGCTGAGGGAGGAGGAGGGCAGTTAGCTGAACCCCACTTCAAGGGAGTTGGGTGTGTGGCACTCTGACATGTCCGTGCAGTGAAATAGAGGCCTCAGAATACTTTATTGGCAGTAGCCAGGCGTGTGGGAAGTGTTCTTTTACATCTCTCAGGATCCTGGTAGAAGAGCATGTGTAATAGAGGCATAAGAAACCAAGAGAAAAGAATGACCCTAGCAAAAGCCCATGAAGGCAGCTTTCAAGAAGAGAAGAGTGGCCTTGAAGTATAAGTGCTATGGATTCAGAGGCCAGGAAGTTGGGCTGGCTTAGACAGGCAGGTGGGCGTGCAGCAGCCTTGGTGCTAGACAGTGCTGCAGCCAGGTGGAGGGCAGAGGCCTTAAACCAACCTCCCAGTGGCTTAAGGAGGTGTCAGTGGGAATGAGCCTCCGAAGGTCCTCGGAGGCCTACCTGTGGGCAGTAGTTGGTGCTGTGTAACACCGTAAGTCAGTTAGGTCAGTCCACGTTTACTGAATTTAATTGTATCATTGGAGGCAATTTTGAAGCTTCTTAAGTTGCCCTCGCATCTCTTTATTAAAATTTTTTTGCAGTGGAGTGTTACAACTTTGTCTCACAGGGAGCTAGAATTCAGCCTGTGTGGTTGACCCATCAGTTACTCCAGATGCCTTAGAAAGGCCCAGTATAAAGCAGTGCACAGCCTCACCCTGTGTTTTCTGGTTTTTTTTTTGAAACAGGATTTCACTTTGTAGGTCAGGCTGGCCCTGAACTCTCTATGTAGCCCAGACCGGCCTTGAACTCATGGCAATCCACCTGTCTCAGCCTCCCAAGAACTGGGATTATAGGCGTGCACCCCCATGCCTGATCACACCTCTGTGTTTTCTGTAAAGCATTTTGGAAATACAGAATTGGAGAGAAAATGATAAGGTTTTCATAATGCTTGATCAGCTACATTAATTTTGCTTTAGAGTTTTTAGATAAAGTGAATACGATTTTTGCAAGTGTAATATGCTTGTATGTGTAATATTGAAGGATAGAAACAGAAGCACTTAGATTATATTAACCTAACTGATGAATTAAAAATCATTAATTATGAAGAACTTAACTGAGCACTCTGTGTCCCCAGTGTTCAATGTAACATCTCAAATCCTTCATGGGTGTCAAAATTAAATATTTCTTGGTGCATCTTGCTGTAAAAATGTCAACTTCTTTGAAATAAAAGTAAGCAGAAGTGGAGCGGGGAACAGAAACAACTTGGAAACATTTCTGCCCTGAAAGGATCGTGAAATACATAGTTGACATATGTGAAATACATAGCATCATAAATAGTCTGTATGGAAAGTGCCAGAGGCATTGGTCAGTTGTGCCATTGTCACCTGGTCAGAGCATCGAGCAAGGACCTTTGGGGCTGCATTACCACCTCTTTTAATGCATCCCTCCCTTTCTTAAAACAGCTTGCTGGCAGGAAAGCCATTAGCAGGTCTCCTTTAGTTGGAAGTCCTTCTGGCAGTGCTGCAGGCATCATGTCACGGTCTGGGTTCTGGAGAGAGCCAGGCGTTCGGCACTCTTGAATAGTGGTTCGCTCCTGACCATTGAGTGGGACTCCAAGTTTCCTGTTGCGTGCTTTTCAAGTACTGATTTCTTTCACCTTCACGTAACCCTGTGATCTGGCATTTTTCACTAAACCCCTGGTTTACATGAAGAAAAGTATGGTGGGAAAAATTGGCTGAAGCCTCTTAACAAAAACACCTTAAGTGTACATAAATGATAGCTGGAGTTATCCTCACAGCACAGTTTAAATGCTTTTGGGAGGTTGTTTGGATTTAAATTCTGAGTAGTAGTACTATATGTGTTAATTTACTCCCAAGTAATAAGAATGTATGTTCTCCACAGGAAAATAAAACCTATATGTATATTATTACAGATTCTGTGATCTTAACTGCTTATTTAATGAGGAAGTAGAATTGATTTAAACACACATCTTATTTTCTGCTGTGTGGCATGAAAAAGGACATGTGCTGGCTTGTGGCTTTTGCTCAGTGAACAGCCAGTGAGCTGGTTGTGATGGTACACCTGCGATCTCAGCTTCTCGGGAGGGCGAGGCAGAGTGCTCAGGTGAGCCAGGAATTCAAGGCTGGCCTAGAAACAGTGAGGCCCCCTATTACAAAGCGATCTTGTTGACTGACCAAGCCAATGAATCCAGCATCATTTCTAGCCTTTCATAGTTTGACAGGAGAGGTTAGACAAGATGGCAGTTGGGTTGTTCTAGATGGGAGAGGAGTAGAAATTTCATGGAGCAAGTGATACTTTTGGTAAATGTAAGAGGATCATGGAGGAGCTTCCTGGAGTGCAAGGGGAAGAAGAAGAGTGTTGTTATTGAGGAAGCATGGAAACTTTAGGAAGTTTCCATGGAACTTTTGAGGAAGCATGCTGAGACTGCAGTGCAGCGTTTTCTATGGGGAGGTACAGTCTAAGGAGATAGGAGATGGGGGACTGTAATATCACAGTGAAGAATTCATGGTAGCCATTTAGACATCTCAAGGAGGGAAGCAGTGGACCTGTTTCCAAGAAGACAGCTTGGTGGTGGTGAAAGATAGCTGGGAAGGGAGAAACTGGATCTGCAGTCAGTGGGAGCATCTGGTGGCAGCCCTGGTGGAATTAGCTAGCACACTACTGAGAGGCCCCGAGCAGACAAATGATGAGATGCTGTAGTGTTGGATATGACAAGACTCGTAGGCTGGAGGGAGGCAGCAGAGGAAGAGCAACACAAACGCTACTGCTATCCTGAGTTTGAAGGCAAAAACCCGCTGCATTTTCACTTTGAACAGATTGCGAGGAACCATCACGTCCATGCAGAAAGCTACCTGGTGTACAACATCATGAGCAGTGGAGAGATCGAGTGCAGCAACACCTTGGAAGACGAGCTGGACCAAGCCCTGCCCAGCCAGGCCTTCATCTACCGCCCCGTCCGCCAGCGCGTCTATTCTGTCTTACTGAGGGGCTGCCAAGGTGAGAGCCGCTCAGTCTTTCTTTGTGACAGTTCCTTTGGAGTTGAATTCATGAAGTACCGTGTGTTCTTTCAGGACAGGAGACAAATGGATTTTTTCTCCATAAGATCTGTAGTTCTGAATACCACTCACATCTATGAAAATCAAGGATTAGTTTCAGGGTCTGTATATCTAGCTGTCAAGCAGAGGTCATTAATGAGGAATGTGTTGTTTCTATGTGAAATGTCATATTGTTGTGCTTTAGGATTTGTGCTTTTTAAAGCAATGAGAAAACTGGTGTCAGAGTTTAGGGTGTTTATTATTAGATGAAGATAATGCCTCCGTAGACAACCTTCAAATGTGATGTTCATAAAATAATTTTACCAAATGTAGTGCATGCATCACATGTTAAAATTTCCTTTTGAGTTTTGGTAATTAAGTTTATTGCTTTCATTGTGTACTTAACACAAAGAATAGAGGAAGGGACATCAGTGTTCCGAGCAGTCAACAAAGAGGCGCACATGTGCAGGTACCCAGGACTTCATGACTCGCTGCTAGGCTGGTGGAGAAGACTCCAAACCTCAGTAGAGCCACGTGGTGTATGTAACGCACTTCGTTACTTCTCATGTGAGGTGTTGTTCACACTGGGCAGACGCCGTTGAGGTCCCTTCTCCCAGACTGGAGACAGGCTTGGTAAGAATGTGGTCCAGCAAGGTACGATCAGGTTAAGAGTAGCTTGAGTACTGGTGAAAGGGTCTGGGGTTCATTTGATTAAGCACTATTATTTCTAAGCATATTGGTATATTAATACTGGTCTGTTATTTCCGAAAGTAAACGCTTATAACCTAGAGGTGGTGATATCACTGGATTAAAAAGCTACCATTCTTTTAGGGGTGCTGGGGTTCACAGAATGTGGTGTCTAGTAGATTCCTGGTGCACCCCAGTCTGTACATCTTCCTCCCACACACACTGCGTACCCGAAAGAGTTTAATCTTGGTTTAAACACAAAAATGAAAATCTGTGTGGTAAACTTTGGTTTACTGTTTATACATTTAAATAAATGTTTTCTGCTTTTTCTATTTTTTTCCTATTTATTACACAGCTCTCTAACCATGTTCTTTCTTAACTTGAATAAGTGTACCTTGGCTGTAAGAACTTGGAAAAAAGATACTTCTTCAGAAAAAAAATTTACATTGTGGAATAATTACTTGTAATTGTTCTCAAACTATTCCTTTAAATGTGGTTAAGCTTTATAAACTTAAATTTGATACTTTATTAATGTAATTGATTTACAGCTGTATGGGTAACTTCTTTAGATAAACACCTATAAGAAAAATTACTCAAATTGAAACCTACCTCAAAATTGATCTTTAGTTCCTCAACTTTGTAACTTTCAACCGGAAGTTTATGTTACTAGGATATCAAATAAAACCTTGCTCTTGGTTGATTTGTGGTGATAATAATGGAGCATATTCTGTGTTACATGCTTGGTTTAGTTCATTATTCATGTGTATGTGAAGGTGTTATGTATTCTGGTTGTCGTGCAGTGTTCCACGAATATCAACAGTGTACTGATTTTCTGTCTTGTTGCTGAGAGGAGTTAAAATCTCCAGGACTGTGAATTTTTCAGTTTCTTCCTTCAGTTTTATCAGCTTTTGCATCAGCTATTTTAAACATCGGTTGTACAGTGTATATACATTGAGGTTGAGTTTCTTATTTGACCTCAGAAAAACTGGAATTATGAGATTTCCTTTAAAATTAGTGCATACTACTGGTACACATTTTGTGATACATTCATGTGTCATAGTTTGTTTTTTTCATCCCCGTTTTCTCCTCTCCCCTTTTCTGACTCTTAGTCTTCTAATTTCTAGTCATCGCTCCTTTATTTTGTTTACTTGTTTGTTTTTAGTTGTTCACAGGAGAGAAAACACTGGCTTTTCCCCTTTCTGAATGTGGCTCGCTTCTCTGAACCTGACTCTGGTTCACCCACTTTCCTGCAGATGTCATGATTCCGTTTTTTACGGTCAAATAAGACTCCGCTGTGTGTATGTATCACATTTGCTCTACCCAGTCACCTGTTGACAGGTGCTGTGGCTGTTTCCAAGTTTACCTCTGTGAGTTTCCCCACTGTGAGCTTAGGTATGGTTTATAGTGTAGTTTGAAACTGGGTATTACCGTACCTTCAGCGTTGCGCTTTTTACTCAGGATGACCTTAGCCTCTGGATTTTTGTGCTTCCTTCTGAATTTTAGGATTCATTTCTATTCTGTGTAGAATATTTGTTACTTCAGTAGGATTACATTGAATCTATAGATCATGTTTGGTAGCATAGCTATTTTATTTTATTTTATTTTTTTGGTACCTGGAATCAAACTTAGAACTTTGTGCTTGCCAGGCAGGCGCTTACGCCACTGAGCTAAATCCCTGGCCATATATGGCTATTTTAACAATATTATTAGTTCAACTGATCCATGAACATGGGAAGACTTTCTGTTTTCTAATGTCTTCAATTTCTTCATTGTTATGTAATTTTCATTATAGAGGTCTTTTACCATCTTGGTTAGGGTGATTCCTAGGTTTTTAATTTAATTTTTTATAGCTGATACAAATGGGATTGTTTTCATGAGTTCATTTTCATTGAGTAGAATTTTTATGTATTGGTTTTTGTATTGGCACTTTGCTGAACCTGTTTATTAGATTTGTTTATTACTCCTGTAATACCAACACTTGGGAGGCTGAAGTAGAAGGATCTTTGCAAGTTTGAGACCAGCCTGAGCTACAAAGTGAGCCTAACACCGGCCTGAACTGCATAGCGAGACTCTGTCTCTAAAAAAAAAAAGTCATTGTCAGAAAATATAATTTGCCTCTTCCTTTCCTGTTTGTATTTTTTTTTAAATTTCTTTCTCTTGCCTAACTGCCCTAGCTAAAGTTTCAAGTGTATATTGAACATGGTGGTGAGAGTGGACAGCCTTGTCTTGTTTCTGATTTTAGAGGAAATGCCTTTAGCTTCTCCCTAGTCAGTGTGTAGATTGTGAATTTGTGGTATCTGGCTTTTTTTCAGTTTGAGGAAAGATCTTTCTATACCTGTTTCCTTCAGGGTTCTTATCCTGGCAGGATGTTGAAATTTGCCAACTTTCTCTTTCTCTTGTTTTCTGCATATTTTGAGAAGATCCTGTGGTTTTTAAAATTATTTTTATGTTGTATATTACATTTAGTGATTTATGTAAATTGAACTATCCTTGATCCCTGGGGTTAAGCCAGTGTGGTGAGAGAGCATGACTTTTTGTTTTGTTATTTTGTACTGGAAATCGAACTCAGGACCTTATGCTTGGCAGACAGATACTGTGCCACTGAGCTATATCCCTGGCCCGGGCATGTGACCTTTGCAATGTAGTATTGAATGCTGTTTATGGGAACTGCTGTGAGGATTTTTTTTTTTTTTAAAGAGAAAAAGAAAAAATCAAGAAGCAAGCCAAAACAACAACAAAAACAATAATAGCCATATGGGTTTTCAAAACAAGATGCATACCTTATCTGGTTCACAGGAAGGTATGGTTTGGCTTCTTGATTATGCCTTGTTTATTAAGGATATTGATGGCCTGCTTCCTTGCTGTCTTCCTTGCTTTTCTTTCTTTCTCTTTATCTCTTTCTTTCTGGATGTTGATGTCCCACTCACTCGCTCGCTTGCTCTCTTTCTCCCCCTCCCTCTCTTTCCTTCTTTCTTTTCGTATCATAGTAATGCTGGCTTTGTAGAATGAATTTGGAAGCGTTCCTTTCCTATCTTGGTTATTTTTCTCTCCTTGCTGAGACATAATGCGCTACACCCAACATGAAGTAAGGAAAGGTTTATTTAACTCGCTATTTGTGGAGGTTTCAGTCCGTAGTCAGTTGGCTCCAATCAGTGGCACATGGCACTGGGGCAACACTCAGAGCAGCAGACAGGAAAAGCAGCCAGAGCAAAAGGCGGGAAGGGCAAGCCTCTTTTCCTCATTTATATTGTGCACACACCACTGCGCTCCAGGGCCAGTGTACTCACAAAATCTTCTTGCCCTCCTCTTGTACAACATGGGGATACTTACAAAGTAAGAAGCCTGGCTCCCTGCTGAATCCTTTAGTTAAAAACTTCTAAACTTCTCAAGTTGACACAATGTATCAGCCATAACAGTCCACCCTTTGTCCACTTGGCAACAGACATACTTCATTAAACTGACCTCTAATTACAAAGGCTTGCCTATTCTTAGCATTTAACAACTTGAATATTGTGACACAGGTTTAAGGATCCTTAAGAACTAGTATTAAGCGAATCAACATTGCATTAGATTAGAATCAAAATTTTCCTTTCTGTTACATGGTAAAACTCAACAGTAAATCCATTGGGTCCTGGACCTTTGTTATTTGGGAGCATTTTCATTACCGTTTCAGTCTCATTGCTTGTAATAGACATACTTAGCTTTTTAAACACCTTGATACAGTTTTTGGCATGTCTGGAAAGCCATCCATTTCATTCATTCCAATTTATTGGAATGAAAGTTTTCAAGACAGTTTCTTTAATTCTCTGGATATCAGTAGCATCTGTTGTAATTTTGCTTTTATTGTCTCTAGTTATAATTTGAATCCTTTTCTTCTGGTAAGTTTGCCTAAGGATTTGTCAACCATACTTTTTCAGAGAACCATGTCTTTAATTCATTGATGCTTTGAATTTTTCTTTAGATACTATTTCATTATGTTTTGCTTCAATCATTATTCTTTCCTTCTAGTGCTTTTTTTGGATTTGATTCTCTTTTTTTTTTTTTAGGACTTTGGAGATGTGTCACTAGATTATTTATTTGGTATTAATGTGTTTTCTAATGCCACTCATAGCTATAAACTTCTTAGAATTGCTTTCATTGTGTCCCGTTACTTCTGGTGTGTTGTGTTTCCATTGTTTATTTTTATGAATGTTTGAGTTTCTTCCCTAATGTCTTCAGTAACCCACTGGTTGCTTAGAAATGTTACTGTATTTAGTCTCCATGTGTCCATATAGT